ATAGTCATTTTGACAGCTGTGTTGCTGGCAATTACCTGTAAGGGAAGATGGGGTGCTTCACTGGGCTGGAAAAAGTTTAGCTAACTCAGAAAGCAGGTCTAATTAAGCAAGTTTGTTCTATATTTATAAAGGCTAAGTTGACTCTCTCATGCATGATACATATAAAGCTCTCGCTGGCACCAATCACACGTGTGTTTCCACCTGTAATTGTCTATTGTGAATTTGATTGACACAGAGAAGGGCGAATAGTGATACTAAAATATTTCTTCTACACCCCCCTCCTGTGCACGAATTTCGTGCACCGGGCCACTAGTAATAATAATAATAATAAAAATGGGCAGAGGACCTAAATAGACACTTCTCCAAAGAGGACACACACACAGCCAATAAACATATGAAAAGATATTCAACATCACCAATGCTCAGAAAAATGCAAATTAAAACTACAATGAGATATCACCTTATACCTGTCAGAATGGCTGTCACCAATAAATCAACAGTAGTTGGTGAGGATGTGGAGAAAAGAGAACTGTGGGTGTGAGTGCAGATTGGTGCAGTCACTATAAAAAACAGTAGGGAGATTCCTCACAAAATAAAAAATGGAACTGCCTGAGGAAATAGGGATTCCATTTCTGAGTATATATCTAAAGAAACCCAAAACACTAATGCAAAAGAATATGTGCTCCCCCATGTTCATTGCCACATTATTAATAGCCAAGATATGGAAGCAACCCAAGTAACTTATCCATAGATGAAAGGATAAAAATGGTGGTGCATAAATACAGTGGAATATTACTTGGCTATAAGAATGAAACCTTAGCATTTGTGACAGCATGGATAAATCTACAGCTGTGCTAAATGAAATAAGTTAAAGAAAATTCCATTTGATTTCACATATATGGAACCTAAAGAACAAAATAAATGAACAAACAAACAGAAACAGACTTATAGATACTGAGAACAAATTGAGGACTGCCAGATGGGAAGGTGGTTGGGGGGCTGGGTGAAAAAGGTGAAGGGATTAAGAAGTACAAATTGGTAATCACAAAATAGTCACAGGGATATAAAGTACACCATAGGGAATCCTATCTAATAAAAGAATAATATGCAAATGGGCCATAACTCCAACACACAAGATGGCTGCCCCCATGTGGACACAAGATGGCCTGCAAGGGAGGACAGGGGTGACCGGGCCAGCAGAGGAGGGCAGTTGGGGGGGACCCAGGCCTGCAGGGGAGGGCAGTTGGGGTGACCAGGCTGGCAAGGTAGGGCAGTTAGGAGCAATCGGGCCAGTAGGGGAGCAGTTAAGCATTGATCAGGCTGGCAGGGGAGTGGTTAGGGGCAATCAGGCAGGCAGGCAGGCAGGCGAGCAGCTGGGAGCCAGCAGTCCTGGATTGTGAGAGGGCAGTCGGACATCCTTTGAGGGGTCCCAGATTGGAGAGAGTGCAGGCTGGGCTGAGGGACAATTGGGGCCCATTGCACTAATTTCGTGCACCGGGCCTCTAGTATATAAATAATGTTGAATGTAAACTGTAACTGAAAAATAAAATTTAAAGTTCTTAAAAAAATTAAGTGAAAGTATTTCAAATACAGTACATACTTCAAAGCCATTGTACATACTATATGATTAACACTTTTAAAATGCAACTGTGTGATTCATTAGTTTATAAACTTTTGAGTTGTGCTTCTGTTTAAAATTTAGAAAGCTGCAAGAGTGTGCTGCTACTACCTTAACCACAAGAAAAAAACTGGAATAATTTATAAATAACTTCTTAAACTCATCAGAGAACAGAGGTCACGGAAACCAAGTAACTAATTCCAAAGAGTGACAAGGCCCTCTAAGGAGATGGGACATAGCAACTGTCTCATAGGAATAA